CGTATAACAAATACATGAAATTAATGCTAGATACGTCTATGATACATATGAATGTACTTGTATGACACTCATGTATCTAAATGTTTAGTTTGTTGGATACACCATATATTGATAATAGATACATCAAATTAATGAATTTATTATTTTTAAGAGTAATAATTTGAAATTAATCAAATTACATTATCAAGATATACATGTTTTTATCTTATATTAATTATATTAATGAATTTACTATTTCAAAGAATAATAATAATTATCTATGTATTTTGAAAATCCTCAATTACTCCTCTAATTAAGGAAATAAGTTACAACTAATTAATTTAAATAAATAAATTTTGTATCTCAATTCTAAAATTCGACAGATACATGTATCTCATGGATTCAGACTCATGTATCCTAATCATGAAATATGGTAGAGGAAGTAATATTTGAAACTATTGGAAATCTTAGTAATTAAGACCTAAACTAGTGGGATTTATATGATTTGCCCTAAAATCTTCATCCAAATCCACTAGATTCTGATAAATTATTTTTATTTTTACGATAAAAAGCGGTGATCATCGTCCTCGTCATATCTGAATTGGGCCTTTGGGTCATAAAATACTTGGGGCCTTCAAGCTGTCAATTCCCAATGGATGGGCCCAAATAGAAAAGTTTTTGGTAGAAATTGCACGGCATGTCCAATTTTTGGAGCAATGTTATTTTCTAATATATAGCCATCGATTGAAATATAATTGAAAAAGAGAAAATTGTATAAAATAGAAAATTATTAATTTAAATTAAATGATATAACCACAATTTCATTTAATTTTAATTCGTAACAAACAGTTTGCCACTGGCCTCTCTCCCCAGCGAATCTCGCTCGTCACTCTCCCAGATTTCGCTCTCCACTCTCCCTCTCCTCTCTCACTTTATACAAACACAAATGTATAAATTGCGTTTCTGTTTGTATAAAGTGAGAGAAAATTGTATACACACATACAAATACATATATCTTCGTCCTATACATTATAATTATACAATATGAATCTTCCCCTGCCAGTTCTCTTTTCTCTTTCTCTCTTTCTCGCTTTTTACAAACACAAATTATACAAAATACAATGTATAATTTGTGTTTGTATAAAACGAGAGAAAGATTTGTATACAAATTTATATGTATACAAAAATACAGTTACATATACATATACAGATTTTTATGTATAACTATACTGAAATATACAAATACAGATTTTCATGTATATGTATACCAAAATATACAGATTAATAGCCATAGCAAACATAAAGTTTGCTATGGAGCGCAATTATATAAACTATAGCTATAACATACAAATATGATTTTTATGTTTGCTAAATCTAAAATTTACTCACTAATACTATAGACTATTTTTAATATTTATTTTCTCTTAGTTCTTAATTACAATTCGTGGCCTACTTTTAGTCATAATTACACAGCTCAGCTTTTTAGTTTTGTATAATTCACACGTTTGTATAATTCGGATTTTGTATAATATAATTTGTATAACTCATAATTTGTGTAATATATTTTGTATAACTGTTTACACTTCTGATGCTTGTAATTGTATAAATTCGTTATTTAGAGTTTATACAAAAATAACTGAATTATACAAATGTACCCGCGAAATATACAAACCTACGAATTTATACAAATCCATGAATTATACAAACGAGATAGCTTAAATTGTAGCTACAACCCATAAATATGCAAACTATAGCTATGGAGCATAATTAAATTTATTATAGTGGCTATTTGCGAAAGTTCCTCAAAAAACAGGAAATAATAACAGAGAAAGGAGTCGTACCAATATCAATATATGGAGATAGATAACTCATAATAGTATGATGGTTTCCTTACAGTAATAGACTTCAATAATATCGTAATTATAGCAAATAAAATTGTATAAGTTTGAATATTATATATATATTTGTCCAAATTTTAAATTTTATGCATGGTGATGTATTTATTTTTTATTACATTATTAATGTATACTAATCTCTTGCAATAAGTTGACTACTTAATTACTATTTATTCTAGGTTACGTACTATGAATATACTTGCTATAAAAATTAAGTGACCTAATTGAATATCAACACTATTTTTTTACATGCATAATTAATCATATTAAAACCCATATCGACAAAAATAATGCCAACAAAGAAGAAATTACAAAAGGCCTTTGAAGACAATATGTCTATTCTTCCTTATGATATTCTATTGTCCATCTTTATCAGACTTCCAGTTAAATGTTTATTACGTTTTCAATCAGTTTCTGTGTCATGGAAAGCTACAATATCCGACAAAGGATTGAAAAGGGTCCATCGTGATCAATCTAGAGCATCGGGACGTGAAAAGCTGCTGATACAACAAAGCATGAGCCATGGTTTCGTGTTAAGAGACCCCGAAAGTCCCCAATTACTTAGGATTGATGAGGAACCCTTCGTTCCAAGAAAAAAGTTGCAAATTTTTTCAGTTGTTGGTTCGTGTGATGGGTTGGTTCTTTTAAAGAAAACTATGGGCTACAAAACTTGTGCTTTATTGAATCCATCCACTAGAGAATATATATCCTTATGTGAACCACAATTACAAGTACAAACCTCCAATTGCTTGTGGTTTGTACTATGATAATGATTACAAGGTTATATTGATTTATAGCTCGTTTTATACTATGTACTCTTTGTCAAATAATTTTTGGTCAAATCAAACAAGTTTGACTTATCTAGAACTACCACTTATTAATTATAGGTGCCCTCGGGGGATTACTACTCAAAATAGTTTATTTTGGTCTCTGAATAATGATATATGCCGATTCATATGTACAACTTCTATAATTTTGTACTTTGATATGACTTCAAATAAAGTGAAAGAATTTTAGTTTTGTATTACATAACAAGCTTTCGTATTGCAGAAAAAATGGCAAAGTTCTATGACGATTAACAACACAACCTGAAAGGAAGCCATTCCTAATAGACTTTTCGTCTATTGTCCTAAAAAGCAATGATTTGTTATCGGACAGGAAGCTGGAGAGAAATTTTGCATAGTTTCAATGTGTTTGGATACTTTATATTTTTGAATTTGGATTCATCGCCAATTTTGGAACTTCATTATAATGTGTCCCAACACAATATTTTTCTGTGTGTTATTTAAGAATTTTTACACCCAGCACAATATTTTTCTGTGTGTTATTTAAGTATATTCTTTATTCAAATTTTATTTCTGCACTGAATTTTAATTAGCACTCTTAAAAATGTCTTTTTGTCAATTTAGTGGTTCTATTCTCTCATATTTCTGAATATTCATCGAAGAAAACTAGGATGTCACAAAAGTTGTACATTCGGCCCATCCAGTAGATTTGAACACTGAATGATTAATAAGATTTTTTTTTTTAATATATAAACACAAAAAAATATTATAATTCAAATAAAATAATTGTCAAATATCACATTAACAAAATATTAGAAAAAAACTCACTCTTTGATAAATGTTAAGATATTTGAGTTATAAATAAATACTTTAAGTTTGATAAAAATAAAAATGGAATTACATGGTTACATTTACAAAATAATAATAATAATAATAATAATAATTATTATTATTATTATTATTGTTAGAAAAAAATATGGTCATCTTTTTTTGGAAAAAAATAATTCAACACAAACCAATCTTAAATAAAGAAGTGAAACATCTCTATGTTCTATAATATATTTGCCATGTACTCTTCTCTAAAATAAATAATGAACTTGATACATTAAAATGATTTTAAACAAATTTATAAATGCATCATAATAATTTGGATAACTAACAAAGATGGAGAATGAGAGAGGCTTGAACTTTTTTGAAGAGAAAAAAATATGGAATACAATTTTTTTCTCGAAAATAAAAGTGTCTTTAAAAGAGTCTGAATGAGAATAAGACTCTGCTGCAAATCTGATTCATTCAGACCCATTAAGAGAGTTTTAAGTTGAAAAAACAGATGCACTTAATGGCCTAATGTCTGAACCATTCAGATTCAAACATCATTAAGTGCAAACCTTCACTCTCTCAAGTTTAAGAATAAAATTTATTTTTTAAAAACTTGTAGTCCTCAAATAAGTCATAAATATTTGTGCAACTATATATAATTAGTAAAAGTAAAAAGTAATAATTTAAAATTAAATTGTTATTAATACGACTATAAATCATTTTATTAAAGGTAAACTAAAAGGTTTAAGATTAAATTGTTATTCATATATAAAGTTATCATTCTTTCTGAAATTAACTTTTAAAAAGTGTCACATAAATTAAGATAGCAGAACTATCCGTTGTTACGAATTTAATAGTAGTATTAGTATTGACTATCGCTTAAATTTTTTTAAAATATTTGTTTTTCATACTTAAAAAGTGAAATAATTAAACAGGAAATAGTAAAAAAGAAAGGAGTCGTACCAATATATATCAATATATGGAGATACATAACTCATAATAGTATGATGGTTTCCCTAGTAATAGACTTCAATAATTTCGTAATTATAGCAAATACAAGTTTATATATGTTTGACTATTATATTTGTACAAATTTTACGTTTTAGGCATGTTGACTGTGTTTTTTTTTTTAAAAAAAAGAAAAATTACATTATCAATGCAAACATAATCTCTTGTAATAATAAGTTGACTACTTTACGTACTATGAATACTTGTTATATAAATTAACCTGTAATTACCTCTAATTTTAAGTGACCTAATTGAATATCAACACTATTTTTTTTACATGCATAATTAATCATCTATAAACCCTAATTAAAAGCTCCACTTTTCTCCCAACGATAGCAACCAACATATCGGCAAAAATAATGCCAACAAAGAAGAAATTACAAAAGGCCTTTGAAGATGATATATCTATTCTTCCATGTGACGATATTTTATTTTCCATCATGATGATTAGGCTTCCAGTTAAATCGTTATTACGTTTTCAATCAGTTTCTGTGTCATGGAAAGCTACAATATCTGACAAAGGATTTAAAAGGTCCCACCGTGATCAATCTAGAGCATTGGGCCGTGAAAAGTTGCTGCTACGACAAATAATGTCCTATGATTTCGTTTTTAGAGACTCTGAAAGTCCCTGGCTAGTTAGGATGGATGAAAAAACATTCTTTCCAAGAATAGAGTTTCAAATTCCTTTAGTTATTAGCTCCTGTGATGGGTTGATGCTTTTAAAGAACTATATGGCCTCTAAAACTTGTGCCTTGTGGAATCCATCCACTAGAGAATATCGAATTCTTGAATGTCCTTATGTGAAACACAATTACAAAGGCAAACCTCCAATTGCTTGTGGTTTGTGCTATGATTTTAAAGTTGATGATTACAAGGTTATATTGATTTATAGCTCGTTTTATACTGTATACTCTTTGTCTAATAATTCTTGGTCAAATAAAACATGTGTGGCTCTCGGGGGATTACCACTCAAGATGGTTTATTTTGGTCTATGACTGATAGTATATACCGATACCAATTCGTATGTACAACTTCTATAATTTTATACTTCAAATAAAGTGAAAAAACTTCCAACATAAAATATAGATTTTTTAGCTGAGGATGAGTATTTTGGTTTGACTACTATAAAAAGTTGTCTTAGTTTGTACGGTGGAAAATACATGAATAAAGAATTGCATGTATGGATTATGCAACGACAAGATGAATGGAAACGGTTAATGACTATTTACAACTTACCCGATATTTGCAAAAGGTTTGTATTACGTACCAAGTTTTTGTATTGCACAAAAAATGGTGAAGTTGTCTTTGTAGGGATTGACGATAGACTTTACATTTATTATCCTGAACGACAACAATTTGTTACTAAACTTGATGCTGGAGTGAACTTCAGTACAATGTGTTGGGGTTCTACTATAATTGCCAACACAAGTATTTTTCTATGTGTTATTTAAGAATATTTTCTATTCAAATTTTAATTAGCAGTCTTAAAAATGTCTATTTCTGCCTTTAAAATAAAAGGTTTAGAATTAAATTGTTATTAATATGACTACAAATCATCTTATTAACGGTATATCAAAGGTTTAAAATTAAATTGTTATTAATATAGAAATGTATCATGAAACTAACTTTTAAAAAAAAGTGTGTCATATAAATTAAGACAACAGGAGTAACAATTACGAATATAATAGGTTTTAGTATAGACTATCTCTTATAATTTTTTTTAAATATTTGTTTTCATACTTAAAAAGTGAAATAATTAACCGTGAAATAATAAAAGAGAAAAAAGAGTCGTACCAAAATATCAATATATGGAGATAGATAATTCATAAAAGTATAATGGTTTCCTAGCAGCAATAGAATTCAATAATCTCATAATTACAAAAAATAATAATATTTATTTAAGTTTGAATACTATATTTTGTCCAAATTTTAAGTTTTATACATGTTGACAGTGTACTTATTATTTTTTACCATTTAATCATCTTTAAATCCTAATTAAAAACGACCACTTTTCTCCCAACAACAACAGCATACAACATATCGGCAGAAATAATGCCAACAAAGAAGAAATTACGAAAGGCCTTTGAAGATGATACGTCTAATATACCATGTGATCTTTATTAGGCTTTCAGTGAAATTTATATTACGTTTTCAGTCGATTTCTACGTCATGAAAAGATATAATATCCGACAAAGAATTTAAAAAAGCTCATCGTGATCAATCTAGAGTAGTGGGCCGTAAAAAGTTGTTGCTACGACAAAAATATTCTTGTAATTTCGTGTTTAGAGACCTCGAAAGTCCCCAATTAGTTATGATGAGTGAGGAACCATTGTTTCCAAAAAAAGGGTTCCAATATCCTGAAGTTGTTGGGTCTTGTGATGGTTTGGTGCTTTTAAAGAACCCTAGGGCCTATAAAGTTTATGCTTTGTGGAATCCGTCTACTAGAGAATATCGAATTCTTGAATGTCCTTATGTGAAACACTATAAACACCAACAAACATATCCACATGCTTGTGGTTTGTGCTATGATTCTAAACTTGACGATTACAAGGTTATATTGATTTATGAGTTATTTTATGCGGTATATTCTCTGTCTATCTATTCTTGGACATGTAAAACAAGTTCCGCTTATCCAAAACTACCACCACGTATATCTCGTTGCTATTATTGTTGTGAGGGGAGTACTACTCAAGATTGTGTATATTGGTCTTTGAATGAGAAAATTAATAGATTCGTATTTATAACTTCTACAATCTTATACTTTGACGTGATTTTAGATGAAGTGAAGATACTTTCAACACAATATTTGGATTTTGTAGGTGAGGGTGAAGTTTTTTATTTGACTACTATGGAAGATTGTCTTTGTTTATACGGAGGGAAAAACATGAGTAAAGAAATGCACGTATGGATTATGCAACAAGATGGATGGAAACGGTTAATGACCATTTGCAATTTACCCATTATTTGCAAGTTTTTTGTAGAAGTTAACACGCTTTTGTATTGCACAAAAAATGGTGAATCTCTTCGAAGAAAATAGAGGACTTTCTATTTATTATCCTAAACAACAACAATTTGTTACCGTACCTGATGTTGGAGTGAATTTTTCCATAATTTCAACATGTTTGGATACTTTATATTTTTGGAAAGCTACTGTCACACGCAAAAGGAAGAAATCGACGATCCCTTTAACAACATGACATGAAGGTCAAGTTGAGAGAAGTTGATACATAAAGTCTCAAAGCAGCATCAACAACAATTTGGTATCATGCCGTTGATCCTTATTTATTTCTTTTTATTTATTAAATATTATTTCCTTGTGAAAATAATCGCGCTTCTAAATAATAAAAAAATTAATGTAAAAGTACAACCCACACTATTACATTGCACATATATAGTCAATATTTGTAAGTCTTTAGTTGCATAACCTACTATTTTCTTCCAATATTGTTTAAGAAATTCGGTATAAAATACTAAATATTTGGTATACAATATTCTATAAACTTCGTATTTTTGTAATAACGTTTAAAAATTTGATATACAATATTATACGTTTAGTATACAACAAGTTTAATGCCCTTATACACAAAAAATGATTTTGTCTCCTTCCTTAGCCTCTTCTAAAATGTATTAAATTATTACATATTTTACATTCTCCCGCGCGCATTATCATGCGAGCCTCCCATGCAAGACTTAAATTAAACTTATTCTGTATCACTTTAAATTTATTATGTATCACTTTAAATTTAAGTTTTGAACTCCTTTGATGTTTAAAATCAATTGGAAAACATCAAGTTCAAATAATTAACAAACTAAAACAGTTCAAATCTGAAGCTTAACTCAAGTCTACTTCAAATTACTTCACGTTTAAATGTTGAACTCGTCTAAACTAAAAATTGTAACCTATTATAGGCAATAACCCAATGGACCAGCAGGGGCAGAAATTCACCATGGGCTAGTTTTGTTTTGGTATATCATTTTAAAATGTGGATCAATTTTGTATAATTTACCTAAATCTCATAGTGTTAAGAGCTAGTTACATTATTTCCCTACTCTTTTTCAAATTACAAAAGTCCCTTAATATTTATGGATTTCCGATACATCACTGGACTTGCGGATACATAGGCGAGGGAGGGATGCATCAAATAGGGGATAGGACATTGGATACATAGGGGAGGAATGTATCCGAGAGGGAGGAATGTATCAGAGAGGGGATATGATGCGGATACAAAGGGGAGGAATGTATCTAATAGGGATCGGATACATAGGGGAGAAATGTATCTAATAGGGATGTATCAGCGAGAGGGAAGTGATGAGGGATGTATCCGAGAGGGATTGGGATGTATTAGCAAGAGGGAAGTGAAGTATCCGAGAGGGGAATTTTTGAAATTTTTTAAATGGTAGAAAATTATAGAGATTAAAGTAAATCAGATGTGTATTTGAATAATTTTTTCAATTTTATTAGCATTGATGTTTCAATTGTATTTGCCCATAATTATTTCATTAATAATACATATGCTCCCACAAATCTTTCAATTGTATAGAGTTATAGCATTTGAAAATCAATATAAATAGTACTTTTTGCTCATTTATCAAATTAAATAGACCAAGGACAATCATTTTTCAGATTTGTAGCAACATATATGTGCTATAATGTTGACTGTCGTTGCGTTTAATGAAGAAACATTTATAATACATTCATTTTAACCGAAGCTTTTGATTCAAGTCTTTTCGGATATGGAGTTGTCTTTGTTCACTACTAAAAATAAAAATAAAAAGTTCCATTTATTTCTTATCGGACCAACTCATTGAAAAAATACATGGTGAAAAACATATTCTTACTTTTTTTTTTTTATAAATTTTCCCAAGTCGTCTGCGGTGTTATAAATCAGGAAGAAAGTTACAAGAGGATTTGGCCTTAGCCTCCGATTACAACACAAGGATAAGCACGACTTTATCCTTCAAAAAAGAGGGGAGGTGAAGCTAGAAAAATAGACATTCCACCCCTCGCAAAACTAGACTACCTATACGACTAGCTAACAAAAATTTTTGTCTTATCGTATTTGGTCCTTATTGAAGGCATTTGGCTCTTGTGAGAAACTTTCTAAATTTTTAGTTTGAAAATATTTTTTTTTTTTTCTCATCCAATCAAAATATTTGTGAGAATAACCACTAAACATTTTTCAGTGAAAAAATAGTGATTAGAAAACTCATTATTCGGGACTTTTCAACTCTAAAAAACAAAGAAACAACATATATAGTTTTAGAAAACTAAGTAATAAGGATCGTAGTGTAATTGTTTGCTAAATTACAAGATCTAGAATAAGATAGACCTATAGGGATACCAAAATAAAACTCATTATTTGGTCCAAAATCAATAGAAAAATATTAAAGAAATTAAGCTGAAACCAAGCATGTGCGATCGCTATTAATAATTTAAGCAAATGGCAGTACAAAACACTTTAGTCATAATAACCTGCTTAAATCATTTTCATTAGATTATAGTTTTGGATTGTATTACATAAAAGGGAAAATATATTAAGGACCGTCCTTCAACAATTAGACAATATAGGTAGAGACATATCCTGTTAAATCACCAAATTAAGATCCTTTAAAAAGCAACGTAATTTCTTTTTAAATACTAAAGTAGAATTATTACACAACTAAATTATTTTCTTTTCCAATGACTTCTCCCACTCTATCATCAAGAATATAAATGTACAATTGTAAAGTTCAATCATGTCAAAATTGTTGAATGAACGTGTAAGGCAAATATCAACTTACCTTTCTAATTGCTTTGATGTAATATTAGTCTATTTTATCATTAATGAAATAATATATAGTTATATAAATAATATCTATAATTTATTTTAGATGGCAGATTTCAAAACTCTTCATATAGATTGAGACAGAAGGAGTAAATTATTTTCAAAAATGTGAATCACCTTCATATAGAAATTGAGACAGATTGAGTAATTTATTTTGCAACGGTGTTTAT